CTCGGAATCAGCGAAACCCATTGGACTCAAGCTGAACGGAAAGGGTTAGATCGGAGAGAGATGATGCTATAATCTGGTCACGAGGAAGAAGAAGCTCCACACACTCAGGTAGTCGCTCTTATGCTGTTCAAAGAAGCACGTTAAGCACTTGTTTGGTGGGAATCTCATGGATCTAGAATCATCAAAACATCCTCCAAAACAAAGAACGGGAGAAATCACAATGAATGTTATCCAACGTTATGCACCGACCAATGATAGCAACGACGACGACAAAGATCGTTTTGACGAGATGCTGAAGTCAATCACAGCAAAGTGGCCAGGAAAGCATCTGACAATCGTGATGGGAGACTTAAACACCAAAGTCGGAAAGGAAAACACCGGATATGAAGATATCATGGGACGGCATGGACTGACTGAGAGAAAGGGATGGGAATAGTGACATATTTGCGAATTCATGTGCCTTCAAAAAAATCGTTGTAGGCAGAACAATATTCTCACACGAATACATACACAAAGCCACATGAGTCTCCTTGGATCACACTACAGAGAATCATGTTTTTATCACTACGAGGTTCAGAGGGTCAATTGAAGACGTGAGAACGAGGAGAGGAGCTGACAGGGCTTCAGATGAGAACCCGGTTTCGGCCAGTATGAAAGTGAAACTAAAGAAACACCAGACAACTGGGTAAACGGCATTATAAAGGTCAGATACAGCTTGCCTTTAAGTTACTAACAAACCCAACGAATTCAAGATAACTCTCAATGTTAGGTTCCAAACCTTTCAGGATCTCCTGAAAGAAGATGAAACTACTATGGAAGACAACTGAATAGGGATCAGAAAAGCACTAACTTCGACGTGTCAGGAGGTGCTGGACATCATGAGGCATCATCATAGAGAGTGGATCTCTATGGAAACCCTGCAAAAGATTCAAGAAACGAAGAACAAGTAGCTAGCAATTAACAAAGGTCAAATAAGAATAGAGAAAGTCCAAGCACAAGCTGAATACACTAAAGCAAACAAGTGAGTCAAGAACGGTATTGGAGCGGACGAGCGTAAATATGTGAAAACCCAACAACGACAGTGGAAAACGCTCTAAGTGAAGGAAATATCAAACAACTAAATGACACTACGAAGGAACTGTCAGGGAAATATGGTAAACCAGAAAGACCAGTCAAGAACGTAGAAGGCAAGTCAATCACTGAAATTCAAGAACAGAGAAACATTTGGGTAGAACACTCCGAGGAACTCTTGAATAGACCAGCTCCATTGAACCCACCGAACAACGAAGCAACACCTACCGACATTCCTATAGATGTCCCTCCACCAACAGTCGAAAAAATCAGGATGGCTCTCAGACAAATGGAGAATGGGAGAGCAGCATGATTTGACAATATACCAGCTGAAGCACACTATTGTCAGTACAAGGAAAGGTTTTCAACACAGTGCTGACGAACCAGATGAACGATTCAGTAGTCGTTCGGCGTTGAGATCAACAGACCGGTTTCCGTAAGGATCAGTCGTGCACAGACTAAATCGTGACACCACGGATAATTGCTGAATGATCAACTGAGTGAAACTCGTCACTATGCATCGATTTCCTTGACTATGAGAAAGCGTTTGACAGTGTGAATCGGAGGACTGTATAGAAACCTATTCGATACTATGTAGTGAGTAGCTGAGATTTTCAATATCATCTGAAATTCATACGACGGACTGCAGTGCAAAGTCGTGCATGGAGAATGGGTGACAGACGCATTTTAGTGAGGATCAGAGTCAGACATGGTTCCTCATATACAACACAGAGGACACCAACTCAGTCACACTTGATGAATAAGCTATGGAATGGGTGGAATTTTTCGCATACCTGGACAGGATCACGGATGAACGTGGAGTATATGATGAAGATGTGAAGGCGAGGATTGGTAAAGTGAGGTCAGCATTTCTACAATTGAACAACACCTGGAACTCAAAACAACTGTCAAACAATATCAAAGCCACAATCTTCGATACGAACGTCAAGACGGTACAAATATTTATGAAAAGTTGTCTACGCAAGATATTCAATGTCCGTTGTCCAGAAACCACCAGCAACAGCCTACTGTAGGAGAGAAGAAACCAACTTCTAGCTGAAGAGGAAATTAGGAAACGACGTTGGAAGTGGATAGGAGACACACTGAGGAAGTCGCCAGACTGCATTACGAGACAAGCGCTTAGCTGAATTCTGAAGGTTAATGGAACAGAGGTTGGCCGAAGAACACACTATGTCGATTATTGGGAGCAGATGTGAAAAGGATAGATAGCAAATGGAAAGGAGTGGAAAAGATTGCTTAGTACATAGTTTGATATAGAATCGTTGTGGGCGATCTTTAGTCGTTCACGAAGAGCGACGTGCGTAAGTAATTAATCATAACTGGTTATTTCTATTAGTGAAGAATTAAAAATTCTTGATTACTAAGAAAAATCAATGCAAAATCAGTGAAAGATAATTTACAAAATCATTACTCCTCAACGCATATTTGGCTTTCGATATGTACACCTTAACTTGAATGAGAGTAATAATGATGAACATTTTTCAGAACTAAGTAACTATGCAATAGAAAATAATAAAAAGTAAATAGGTTTTTTTAAATTAAAATATCGACGCCTTATCTATAGTGTCACATAACAGTTAAAAATGTGATATTTTCACCACTTATGATATATTATATATAATCAAATAGTTACCAAGTTTGGTTTACTGAATAACAAGATAACTAACGGTGGTTGGAAACTTCGTAAAGTGTTACGTTAGTTGAACAAAGTGTACGAATAAAAACAATGATATTTTTAAAGTTAAACCATAAAAACAGAACACCTATTTCTTAATCTAAGACTAATAAATTGCTTATTGGTTTTTGGGTTCCTCAATATACTGATTCTTGAGGTGAAATATGGTGATATGTCATCACAATTATGATCAAAGCCTGTGGTTTACTCATTCATCTAAGTTTTTTAGATCAGTCACCATTTTCTCCTGTTAGACTCAATTACACATAATTGTAAGACATTTTTAAATGAATTGATTTGAGACACATAAATGGATTCACTCCATAAAGGTCATTTTCGCTTCTAAATAAAGACGTCGTAATTATTTTCATTGAATTCAAATATAGGATGCCGGATTTGATTTAAAAACATCCACTGCTTGAGACAAATGTGATTAGGCTGATGCGGATATATATTTTCACATTTTTCAAAGTTTTAGAGTTAGAGGCAAGTGTATCAATCTTCGAGATGGTTAAATATGAAAGTTAGTTGCATCGCATTTAAATCTATTGCGGAAAATCCGGGAAAACTATTTGGATTTGGATTAAAACTGCGACTGATTCAAATGCTTTCGCAACTATTTCAGTAGTACAGTTATAAGTTTACATTTAACGGATTTATTTAAAATATATTCGTAAAATCATGCAACCACTATAACCCAACGCCATATGAATTCTAGAAAGTAGTTATGTATAAAACAGTTCCATAGTCATGTTTCAAGATATTCTCTAGGGTTTCTGTATTATCAAACTAGGTAAGCCAAAATATAAATAAGAGGAATATCAAGCGTTTGGTAAATAAGGTAAATAATTTATTCAACCTTTCCTCATTTGTTACCCAAATATATCTTTTGGACATAATCTTTTTCTAATGAAATGCGAAATTCATTAAAATTGAACAAATATGATTGACAGAACTAAAAGTAATCAAAGTGGAACAAGTCAGGCTAATCTCTGGACAGAGAATGTATGGCCACAAAACTTAAGCTAAATTCACTGTAATGCTTTCCAAAATATGACAAAACTTCTTCCTGGAAAGTTTTGTCTTTTTTATTTTTTTGAGTCATAACCAAGTTCCTCAAATATAAAGTCTTCAGCCCATTCGAAAAATCACTTGTTTGTAATTGCAACTTGCTTTACTGTCTTAAATTCTTAAATTAAGAACTGTGTACGTTAACTTCATACGTGTAAAAAAATAGTCCACAACCTCCTGTGATGCCTAATACAGAAAACTTCAACCCTAAGCATCACAGTGGGTGATATATCCATGTTTCGGAGAGACGACTGAGTATTTATGTGCAATTCGCATATGAAATATCTGTTATTTCACATGAAATGTCTTGTTGAGAAAAAACATCTCGAAATCGTACAAATGAAGGTGAACTTTAATTAGTTCTGTTAAAAAAAACATCACTAAATAATTACAAGTCACACTGATATAAAATTCAAACTCGTGTTATTACTGTTGAATTATTCGTTATAATCAAACATGGGACATATAGCAAATGATCATAAGTGCAAATAGTTGATTTACAGTCCTTCTGTTGAATATGGATGGGGAATATTTAATATTTAATAGTTTTTAGAATAAACACACTCTCAGTTCTAACCAGAAAATGAATTTTTCGTTCAATGAAGACGTTTTAGCTTGTTTCGCTTTCGTATTTTAGTGATGGGTTCCATTTACTCTTTACTGAAACGCACAACCTCCGTATTATTAAAGGTACTTTTTCCAAATCCCACTGAACTGTGTACCAAGTATCTTATTATGCACTTACTCTTGAAGGTTTACTAATTTGTCAGCTAAGATTATTATATATAAACATTGAGGTCATGGAAAATGTAACCACATAATTAAGGATATTTCATGCTAAAATCGTAAGACTTGTAAATACAGACGCCTTCAACCAATTTTTTGCTCTACTATGTGTGCCGTCATTTCTTTTTCTTGTAAATACTTGAGTTATAAAAAATTAACGCCGTTTATTAAAATGTTTATAATCAACATCCTTTTATTAACAAAGAGTATAAAACAAAAATCTAAACCCATATACTTGTGTGAAGAAGAGAACCTTCTGAAAAATTGCAAATAACACGGATGGTTACTCACCATCAGGAATCAAAATAGCTCCAAAGTCTTAAATGAACTTAAGTAGTAGAATTATTAAACTTAACGAAATTAAAATTACACTTACTTGAAACAATATCGCTGTGGCATGACAGAATGGGTAGGCTCGTGGAACAATAGGTGCATCCTGCCAAACTAACCAGGACATTCTACCGGCTACAGGTTTTCGGGAATCTTTAACGGCGGTTAGTATCGTCGCAATAAGCACAAACATGTCGGCTATTGCTAAGGAGATGAGGTATGTGTTGGTGGTTGAAGCCCCGATGGCTCGCCTTGTCAATACAATTAGAGATAAGAAGTTTCCAACGAGGCCAATGCAGCAAACACTTATCATTGATACACCTACTATATAGTAGCTAATAAGTTCTTTTTCCCAATCGTTAAGTGACGAAATGACTAACGGAATCTCAGACAAGCCATCTGGGTTAGAACTATTAGATAGCATTGACCCAACGTATTCTGTTGAAATTGGCGTGTAGACGGTGTTTTTGAGGGTCATTTCGATTAAATATCTTCTCGCTGTATCCCGAAATCTTGAATAATTTGTTAGACTAAAAGAACTCGAAGAGGCTACGGCCATGACATTGTTGAAGGGTGTATGTGATTACATCAAGTAGCCGAATTTTTCTATCAATCAGTCATTATAAAATATCCACATTTTAACTCAAAAATCCAACGATTTTGAAAATTCGACATATTCCAGAATGAAACCGGATTACGAATTTTTTCAGTGACTTGCAAAGCTTTTATTCTGGGATTTTGAACTTTGATTTCACGCAAACATGAGTGGTTACTTTGTATAATAAATCACACACAATGGACACACGGAATATAAACATGAATTTAACGACCCCCTTGCAAACTGCCTACAAATGTTAATTATTATTTGGTGTAATAAAACAAAATATTTTGTGCGACCTTTCACAATTAGAGTCAACCGATTTAGGTTATAAACCAATTGTTTATTACGCAGCTATGTTATGAGGGAATATTTTGGCCATTTAAATATATGAATATATGTTAGCATCACGACAAGCGGCTTATTCCACATAATAAACATCAAATAACATAAAAGATCGTGGTAGCTAATGGCGCGTACATCTTAAGGAGAGAAGAGTGATCATTTTATCATGAAGTGAGTACTTTTACCTCTCAAGATCAAGAGAAATGAAGTCTTGTTAATCCGTTAGATCCTGTAATGAAGTTGTAATGGTGAATATATCCACAATGTAAATTGTTATACAAGCCTTTGAAATTGATAATGACCCCCTTAGTTTATCAAGCACACTACAAATGAAGACACTTGGTCATCAGCACCAGATCACAAGTGGGCATGCTGTGCTACGCATCACATGAAACTACGAGTACACATGTTTTGTGTTTATATACAATGAATGCTATTAAAGGTTATCATTTAGTCTTATCTAAACATACAAAGTAGACAATAACATTAGGGTGACATATCAGTCACTTGATATTTCTCGTTTCAGATCCATTCACACAAGGATGGATATTCTTAGGGGTGTGGCAGGAGTATTTGCTAAGAATGTAAGACTCCACGAAACTCAGCCTACTGAGATAATCCCCCGCAATTGGTCCTTATCAGTCTTGTTTGAGCACATCCATGGAGAACATGACAAACCTTTGTAAGATTGTGTACAGAAAAAGCAAACATTTTGTGGAACATATGAAGCAAGTATTCCCTTATCGTGCATAGCTATTATCACACACCCCCATTTTTTTCGACTGTAATCAACCTCTAATAAGGATGCTGAGTCCGTATTAATAACTTCAAGCATAGATAGCGCTTATAGCTCGTTGTGACTATTGTTCAATACTGCTCGCCTTTTTAATTTATTATAATGAAAACTCAGTGTAAAATATGCTTTAAGAGTGACACTTTATAACACTGGTTTATTTCAGCGTGATGTTTATTCAAGATATGATATTCTTTATGTTGAACTAATGTGAATCACATTCAGCATGACATTTTGTGTAAAATTATGTTATAATTTTATTTAATTAGTAATCAACTAGGTGTAAAAATCAATACATTTATTTATTTATTTTCGACCAGTGGTTTCATAATTTTTGGGATAAATGAATCTTAATTTGTATCGGTCTTTTGTCTTCTTACTTCGCGTCATGAGGATATGAGTGTTCCCTCGTCTTCAAGCGTAAGTAATGGGCGACGAGGACATAACATAATGACAGACAGAATTCAAGTGCAATAGAAACGAATATATACCAGACTGAGCTGAAGTGGTAAGATGTTATGTGGACGGCTGCATTTCCACCCCTCAACTCGTTTACGCTCCGACTAAAAAAACGCTAGTATGTTACAATGGAACAACAGTCAAAAGTCACCGCAAATCACCACTGAAGCTGTATATAAACTGACGCAGAAGATTCACACTTGCCTTTGAATACATGTTGGAAGTTAGTGAAGGTCAGTAACGCTGCGATATTATTGTCAAGATTGCATGACTCAGTTGTGTAGGCGTGGTGATCATTTTATACTATACACATATTATACTGTCAATAGCGTGGATGTGTCTTCAAAAGTTTGTTGTCAACGCTACCTCCGACTGTCACTGCTGGTCAGTGATCTGACAATGATGTAAGATAACATAGATTTAACATTCGCAAAATATTATGTTTTAATGGTTCAGGTAGCGTGGCTAACTGCCCGAATACCGACCGTCTAGTGAGAAAAATGCAAACAAAAGTGCAAAGTGTATCTACGCTTATTGTTGGTCTCTAGACAGTCGTAATTAGCATTGTCGCCGAAGAACATTTATTGTATTAGTGACTAAAACTTGCAATCGTCGAACGAAGCTAACTCCTGTGTCCTTAATAGTCCAGATTTTACAGTTTGATAACTAAGGATGGTCAAATGAATTTTATTTCATACTGAGTTTGAAAGTGGACATTTCAGTCGCGACAGCTTTTATCGGTCTCAACTCTATCTAGTTTCTAACTCTGACCGCTACCGAACTGAGTTTTGGCTCTGGTTTTCACACTGAGTAGTAGCTGGGTTGTCATGATGTGACTAGATATTCTATAAGATCTTACGTGGAAGTCACATCGTTGTCTATTCTGACTCGTATCATGACAAACAAGAATATTATTCCTAACACTTCTGAATAACACATTTGGACTGTGTATAGAATAATATATTTGATGTAAATAGTAGTAAGTTACACAAGCATGATTACGCCTACAAGGCCGAGCCATGCCTTAACGAACAATTGTTCCTGCCTTCACCATTACCGATATCCTACAATTATTGCATACGAAGTGACAATCTTCTCAGTGATTACATGTTCAGCTTCGAGAATCGTGCGGTTAGGAATTAATACCACTACAAACCTTTGTATCTGATACAGCATAACTACATTACAATTTCTTCATTTGTAGAGTAAAAATGTCAGTTATCCAGGAGTTTTAATTATTCGTTGTAAGGCGTCAAGTTATAATTAACATGATAGTGGCAAGTATAATGCTAACATTATTGAAAATTGTGTATTATTGCATTTTTTGAAGAAACCCGAAATGGTTTCTTCACAACACTTATGTACCCATAAGATGTTTGTGAATAATAATAATAATAATAAAATGAATGGTCTGCATAAAATGCATAGTTGCAGAATTTTATCTCGTTAACTGAGATATCAATAATAAATTTGTGTGAATATAATGTGCAACGAGAGGGGTAATTGAAATAGAAAATTCATGTGAGTTCAGAATGACGAATGTGTACATCAACAAACATACAAACACCAATAGAACTGAGGGAATAAGACTTTTAAAATACGCAGCTTAGATATTTAATGATCCAGTGGGCCGGGGTAAACACAGAAGCTGAACATACCCCTTTTCGTATGCAGAAGTTAGGCTTTCTGAAATTAATCCAGATGACTTGAGCTATGCAGACGAGTTGTAATATAACTCATTCAAGTAGGCTGTTCGGAACAGGGTACGTACAGAAAGCCACATCAGTTTCAACGTGATATTAACCATCCTCCAAACAAGAAAAGATTACGCTGTTAATATATTTCAAGGCTCATTTTCGCATCCATGCCGATACATGTTTGGGAGCACACATAGATAAAGCCTTCTGAGTTTGGCCTATGTAGCTAGCTCCACAGGAGTGGTTCAGACGATATGCACATATGGATTAGCTCATCATCAGTGGCCTATCCTTGAATCGCCGTTCAAAAAATAGTTAAGTGGAGAACATTACATGTAACTTGGGGACGTGAAATATCCTTTCAACAGATCTTTTGATTCCACCTGTTAAAATTTTACCCGCCTTATCCCATGCAAATCTGAGTTGCAGATAAGTGGTTTTCTTGTTGACTGTGTCGCAGTCCGTGATATTTTTCTGTTCTGAAAGATGTTTTCTGACGAAACTATCTGGAGAGCACCTTTTGGTTTATCTCAGCTGTCATGAAAATGCAACAGCTTCATTCAGTTGCTAAGACACTTGACCAGATTTATTTTGTTCTGAAGAGTTATAAAGTCATGAATGTGGGTGTAACAACCAATTCATTTATTCTTTTTGAACCAATATCTTTGTATGAATCCGTCTATCCTTCCAGAAGGCAAGACATCTGGGAAATTCGAGCTTCTTTGTCATGCTCCTCATTGATGAATTTAGTAGCTGAGTGGACATCGTCGAAATTGTTCAGCAGCTCTTGTTTGTTGATACTTTTGTTACACGACATTAGTAATCCAGATTATTCAGGGTGTCATTCGACGGCCCATATAACAGTTTGACTAGGAAAATATTAACACTTACTGGGGCTCCAAGAGACCTCATTTCTACTCTACCTAATTATCTTTAAAGTTCGTCAAACATGTAGGGATATTCATTGTGCAGTTCAACAGTAACCCCTTCGTTTTACATATTGTAATAGGTTTATGTATTTTTTTCTAGCAGTTGTCCATTTATGTAATCGGTTATTTCCGTCAGTGGAACGCTAGTAAACAAAGATGTTATGTCTAGTGATAACATGGTTTCACCTTTTACATTCATAATTTTTATTATATTCACAAATTCAAATACGTCTTTAACTCTGTACTCAACTAAGTCTTGGTGTAATGGTTCTTGTAAGTTGGCAAACTATTCTGCCGTTGAATGACATGGTTATTTTGACATGTTTAGAACTGGACGTAAAACAACCTCTGGTTTATGAACCGTAATTAAGTTAGATAGTAAAGAGATGTATGTTCTTGAAGACTTGAGCCCATTACAAATATACTCAAAAATGTTTTGGTGTTGTTTCGAAAGTCTTATTGCCGTAGTTAATTGATGTTCGGTCTTTCCACTGAAATCTTTACATCACCCAAGCTTTCCGTATTTACTTTGATCACTCAGCGAGAAGTTAATCTTATGTGTCTTATCCGTCTTATCCAGAATCAGTATCGAAACAAAGCACTGAAACAAAGATACAGTAAAACATTTATGGTCACAAATAAAGCGTTTGAGGCGAAATATATTTCCAACAATCTTATCACACATATAGTTGTTATGAACATTTATATATGAAAGTAAAAAGGTTAACCAGACGAATGGAAAATAAGGAAAAACAGAAATAACTAGAAAAATGTGGCCGAAAAGTGAGAAAATCGCTGTGTTTGTTGATAAAACTATATTTCCAGGGTACGTTTAGGGTAAGAACAAACTGTTTTGGAACTCGTAAAGAGGGATTTCTATTTTCGCACGCTCAAGGCTCCAGGAAGCCTCATTATGCACCCCTGAACAACTTTGTACAAAGCCACAAAACTCAAGTCAACATCAATTTTATGACCTGTTTCGACTAAGTGTTTAACAATAGATGACGACGGATCTTTATCATCTACTC